ATGTATGTATGTATGTATGTATGTATGTATGTATGTATGTATGTATGTATGTATGTATGTAAGTAGGTAAGTAGGTATTTATGTATGTAGTTGAACTGTATTCACTTTATTTTGTATATGGTGTGGAAGAACTGGTATTTGAATTTTCCCGCAATGATATAAATAGACCCCATGCTTCCATTGCATTTCACATAGCCTTGCTTTCAAAAAGGCATCCTCACCCAGGGTGTTCTGCAGTTTCAACATCGCCTAGGTCTCATCAGCGAAACTCGAAGCCTAGTATTGAAGAGTATAATCTATACACATTACCCACTACAATATACTGCCACGAGTACCCTTGGGTCATAGGACAGAAGTGAAGTTCAAAGAATCCGAGGTCCTTGCCATATCAAATTTTATGTTGGGATTGTTGATGAAGCAAAGTTGTATTTGCAATAGAAGTCGACTATATTAAATATCTTTCGTTTTTTAAGTAGCCTTATTAGACTTCCAGTAGATCTGATATAGTAGCTATATTCACCATATTTCATTTAGGGTGATGAAGGACTGGTAGTAGGCTGGAAAGACCTAGTCTCCTTAAAATTCATTTCCGCACTCGTGCAGTGAGGTGTGGTGATTAACGTGTTGATATTATTCATTGCACTACTCGGGTTGGAGTCCCGCCGAGGGTGTTGATGAGACTTGGGCAAGGTTGAAGCGTTAGTCCACCTTGGAGGAAGACACTTTTTGGGAAGCAAGTCTATGTGAAATTTAATTTAAGCCTGAGTCCTACTCATAATATTGTTGAAAAATTCTCACTACAGGTCTTTCATCACCTTTAACTAAATATGGTGAGGGCAGCTCCTATATGAAATCTTCTGATATATCGTGTATTGTATCCTGTATGCATTCGTGTATATTTGTGTGTGAAAGCATGTGTAAGCATATGCAGGTGTGCGTAGGTAGTTGTACTTTTACACGTCATTCTAAACGATAGAACAGAGTCCTTGTAAAGCTCACTACCGCTAACCTTGATCTGCCCAACTCTCAGATAGAAAATCTGTGATAGAAAATCGTGAAAAGCCCTTGTTCAAGCTTGCCGAAACAGAGCTTTTACTGTTTTTTGTGTGTTATTTACTCAAATATTTATCCCCGTCTAATTCGGCTGGGGAAGAAGAAAGTCATGCCTGTGTTCTAATCCTGATTCCCGGGTTAATTAATTATCTAGGCTTATATTTAAATATATATTTGTTGATAGATAAATACGACTTTGTGAATCGTTGAAGCAGTAATTAAGGAATGAAAATCTTTTCTTTCAAATTAAAGTTATCAAGCTCAATAGGGAGGAGAACTGGCACAAATAGGGTTCACCTAGCTTTACTTTATACTCTCCAGGCTAGAGATAATTGACTTGACCGACTAAAAACACAGTTCATCCATAATGATGATGTATTAATAATACAGGCAATCTGGCTCCACCTTCTCCACCTCGATTGGGTTTTGTGTGCGCGCACATTGGCATTTGGGTTGTAATTAAAAAGCTTTGTGAAAGTAGGGCAAAGGAGTGAAATGGGCTCCGAAACATGCGGCACGATTAGGTTTGGTCACTCAGTTGGTTTTGCATAAATGACATTAAAATGAGTCTAAGCTGCCTAGTGGAGGACTGTAATTGTAAGTAGTAAAATAAATTGAGAGGCAACCTTTATATCCTCATCATATTCCATTCGGTGAGGCTTATGGAAGCAAGCACAGGCTGAAATTTAATTCGTAAAGCCCAAGGACGCATAACCTTTCTCATGATTCAGAGATAGAAAATCGTCTTCCGGGCCTGGGATCTTCAAATGAGAATTATTCATCTTATTTTGTTTCAGGTGATGAAGGACTGGCAATTCATTTTTCCCACAATTTTATGAGTAGAATTTAGGTATCCATTTAATTTCACAGCATTGCTTACCAAAGGTATCCTCATCCAGAGTGGACTGCAGTTTCAACCTCACCTGATCTGGTCTCATCATCACTTCCAGCGTTAGGGGGCACATTCAACATGTGATTTAAGGGTAGTCTCGAAATCCTACTAACAAACGAAAAATAAGTAATGCAATCCATTGCTACAATAAATAAAACTTGGCTTCATCGAAAATCTCAGCGCAGAATTTGTTATGAAAAAACGCCAGGCCTGCCTTGAACTTTGCATCTGCTCTGTGGCTCAAGGGCCATCGTGACAATGTAGCGTATTTGTTAACGTGTCGAGAGTATACGCTGCTCTGTCATGGTTTGAGTCCCGCTGGGGTTATTAATAAGACGTAGGCGAGGTAAATATGAGGTCTACTCATACCTTTGTGGTAAAATTAAACTAGTAGCCTTTATTCCCTTAAACGAAATAGGATGAACATAACATAATATATATAGCTAAATCTATCTACCCTATAGTGCAAGAAAGTCATAGGTGAGAGAAATCTGCACAAGAAGGATTTGAATATGAAATTTTTAGCTTTAAATAGCAAAGTTTCTCCTCTCTGAGAAAAGGAAAACTCTGCCTTCCTTCTTTAGTACATGAGAAGAAATAAACAATCGCAGTCCGTAAGTTCTATTAACTTAGTAGGCATAGGTTGCCTAAGGCAATTTAAACAAATATAGGGCAGTTTCTCTAATCATAGGACTTGGCTTCATTTTTACTCGAACTTAGCTTTGCTACCTAAATTTTTTTCTAATCCGGAATGAACCGAATTATCATCATCCTTGTCATCAGAATCATTCATGTCATATTAAACATTGAGATTTTAAACAGTCATCGCCCTAGTGGCCTCACGTTGCCACTCCTCCACATAACCAAGAGTGATAAAAAGTGGTGGAATAGATGTGATTCTCAAGGCAATAAAAACTATCTTAAATCACATCTTTGAATGCTTATATAAATGAGGCAAACACTAATTTGCAATTAAAAACGACAACGTTAAGTATACTCAGTATGAGTAGTTAGAGAATCATATCCATACAGCAAGCATAACGTTTTATTTCTATGGAAGCCTTAGTAACACTCAAACTAGTTTGGCATTTGTGAAGGATTCTAAAAGAATAGCATCGCCAGATGGCGAGA